ACTGTTGATGTAAAAGGAAGAAGATAAGAAGTCTACTGTTGATGTAAAAGGAAGAACATAAGGGGTCTACTGTTGATGTAACAGGAAGAACATAAGGGGTCTACTGTTTGTGTAACAGGAAGAACATACGGGGTCTACTGTTTGTGTAACAGGAAGAACAGTTAGTATTGTTATGGAAGAAGATTATTATCACTGCAATACGTAGAGGTGTTTTCTATAACTACAATATATCAGGTCGGATTTTACAGCATTCTGACGAAACTATATACAGACATCACAGTTTCCTTCAACTATTACATTTGGCATGTCTGGAGTCTCTGTATTTTAAACAATTCGTGAAAACAACTTACTTTTGTATATAGCACGAGTTATTAGTGTATCATACAAACCAATCAGGCTAATGAGAGCGTCTCCCAATGTCTGCGGACTTACAACGCTAGAATCCGGGTTTCGATACCCCTGGTGGGCAGAGCACAGATAGCCCTTTGTGTAGCTTTGTGCTTAATTGCAAACAAACAATACAAACAAAGCTAATGAGCGAGCCAATCGTGGCGCCATCTTTTGGATTTCTAGAAACTAAATATACACTCGCTTTTCTAAGTACTATTTAAGATTTCTTTGCTAATGTATTTCTATTGCCAATAAACTACAATAGTCAGCCACATAAAACATACAGCGTTATTATGTATTACAGTTACGTTGAAAGTGGAGAAACCATGGCAAGCCTGGTGGTCGCAGGTTCGAATCCTCGTCACCAAACATGCCAGCCCTTTCGGGCGTGGGGCGTTTTAATGTAACGTTCAATATCACTATTCATTGGGAAAAGAGTAGCTAAAGGGTAGGCGGTGGGTGGTGTTGACTAACTGCATTCCTTCTAATCTATCACTGCTAAATTAGGGACGGCTAGCGCAGATAGTCCTCCTGTAGCTTTGCGCGAAATTCAAATCAAAACTTAAAACAAACAAACCATGCGTATCTAATCGCAGTGCAGAAAGTTTCTGGCATTTATAAAACCACGAAGGTTAGATTTGAAAAAAATATAATACCTAAAACAGTAAATAAGAACAGAAAGGAACGTAACTAATAAATTATTGAAGCTAAAATTCTATTTAAACAATACCATTTTAAACTTGTCGGTTTAGTGTTTTCTTTTAGTGATTACCGTTTATTTAATAGATGTATTTGTTGCACCAATATATCATCAAGAGTAGGGGGCGTGTTAATGACGTCGTGGGACACGGGAGTTGGGAATCACTTCCGCTGCGACGAACAAGAACTCCAGACGTTGTATTATCTCTCTTACTCTTAACAGTCTGTCGAGTAACTGCAAGAAATCCTTACACCAGCGTAACCCAGGCAACCAGATCAACACCTGAGGAAGTGGTCTTACAGAGGAGAAATCTCTGCGTTAGAAGAACTACAATATCAAATAGTTTAAATTTCATGTAACAGAAAAAAAAAAGAAATAAAAAATATATATAGATTTTATTATACTTATCATGGCTCTCCCGTCAGCGAAGAACGAGCATGTGGATACAAAGATGACGTCAGAATCGAGTTCAGAAAGCAAACAAGGTTGTTTACTGAAAGATCAAGGACTAGAAGATCTAGTGAAGGACGTCACGGCCTCGACCAAGGAGTCTCTAGAAAATAAAGCAGGGTTTCCACCATCCATACACGATGCCGTGTCTCGGGTACTGAAAGGTTACGACTGGACATTTGTGCCCACTCCAACAAAGCACAATAATTCGGACAAACGGCGACCTTATGTAAAACGCCCTATGAACGCCTTTATGGTCTGGGCCCAGGCAGCTCGACGTAAACTAGCCGGCCAATACCCTCACCTTCATAACGCTGAACTTAGTAAGACTCTGGGACGATTGTGGAGGTAAGCCTAATCTAGACCTTGAACTGAACTTATTTTCCAATCAGTTCTAGTTTTTGTTCTTCTATAATTGTGGAGGTAAGCCTAACCTAGACCTTGAACTGAACTTATCTTCCAATCAGTTCTGATTTTAGTTCTTCTATAATTGTGGAGGTAAGCCTAATCTAGACCTTGAACTGAACTTATCTTCCAATCAGTTCTGGTTTTAGTTCTTCTATAATTGTGGAGGTAAGCCTAACCTAAACCCTGTACTTAACTTATCTTCCAATCAGTTCTAGTTTTTGTTCTTCTATAATTGTGGACCTTGAACTGAACTTATCTTCCAATCAGTTCTG